GAAGGGGGTAAAACGTACTTCAACTTTCTTTTCATTTTAACGTTCGATTGTCAATCGACCGACAGCTACAGTCAAAAACAATCGAGATGCGAGATCTGTTGGTTGGTCGCTGTAATAAAATATTACCGTATCGCTATGCATTGTAATAAATAATAAATAACATAATTTCTATATATGCGTGATGTCGCAGACGGTTGTTATCGTGATTTTAAAAATCTGTCGCTGATTTAACATTCAATGTAGAAACGTGTTGTTAATGACTTCCTTGCCAAGTGAAAAACAATTCCTCTCGTCGAACAAAACGCGAGCAATAAGGGCAAAGAAATTTATTTGTAGAGAGAGAGAGAAAGTTAGAAGAGGAAAGAGAAGGAAAAAAAGGGGGGGAGGGAGAGAAACGAAATGGAGGAATAAAGCGTGAAACACTGGCGAACGGAATGTGATTTTCTATTTGCTGGATTGACCGGGGCGATAGCGGTACGTGAATTTCATTAGCCAAAAGCACGAAGGCAACGAAGCCGCGTTGATAAGCCAAGAGGTCGTTAGACACGTTGTATTGCGAGTTGGACGTGGGGGAAAGGTTAAAGGGGGAAGGGGAGAAGGAGGATGTTCGCTTTTAAAAAGTCTCGTTAACTCGCGTAATTAATTCGTTGCCGGTGGACACACAGCTACTGCCCGGGACAGGCATAATTAATTCAGTCATGACAATTCTCAGCCACGGATAAGGATTTTATTGCGAGAGTCATTGTGCCATTTTAAATTTGATCGGCCTGCCTCTCTCATTGCCTGCCAGATATATTAATATAAATGAAGGGACGGAACGGCGGGACTTTTAAAAGGCACAAGCTCGTCATACGGAGTAAATTACCGTGCAGAATTACGTAAATATATATATAGAATTGCATGAGTATTATGAATTACGTAGGTAAGTAAGTATTTAAATATCACAAATACACTTTGGCCGTGGTATTAAGAATTATCGTAGAAATAATTGGTCCTTAAAATCATGAGACTATCAACGATGCGAATCTTTTGCGTCGATCGAATATTTTCATAATATCGACTATATTTGAAAGTATAATCAGAGAAATGAGAGGAGCAGTATACAACTGCAAATACAAATACATTTGATTAATGTACTTAGAACGCGAAAGATTAATGCGCGAAGAGTGAAGACTCTTTGAAGAAATATCACTTTGACAAATTAGAGGGATTCCTGTGGAATTAGGTTTATGATACTATAGTACGTGCGAGGGTATCTGCGAGAGAATACCTGAAATTCAGGTCACCAATTTGGTTGGAATTTTGCGCAGAATTATACGTGTGTAATAATATCCCAAAAGTGTAGGGCAGTGCTGTTCGAATTTTCCAGGGAAATCGCGTTTACAGGCCTCGGGTGAAATTTTGTTAATTAAACGACGGCATTAAATTAATAGAGTCTCGAAGAATTCCTCGTTGAAAGAGATACGCAGCCATCGAACAAACGAATTTCTATGCATCTTTACGACAGATTTACAACAAACAACTGAACGTGTTCTTTATGTTTCTCTCTAACGTCCAATTACATCTTTCTCTACATTTTTCGTGAGAATTTACCTCCTCCGTTCAATCTTGAGTGAACGTTTCGTTCATAAATAAGTTGAGTACACGTACTCAATTGTATAGATCGCCGTAAAAGAGTATCGAGTGTCCTACTTCTTTTACAACCGAGCCATTAATGCCGGGCTGCGCGTAAACAATATAATTAGTTTTTTGAAACTACGTATTTGTAGAATGTTGCGACAATATCTATGGCAAACGAAAAATTAGTTAACGGTGTTGTGATCGAGATTATCCGTTGAGAATTACTTATTCTAGACAAATTACAGTCGTATAAAAATTTCATACAATTACATAGTACATAGTTAAACCAGTTTCGTACAGTTACACATGATTTCTGATATTCGGCTTCTTCCACAAAAATTCGCGATTCCTGCGAGATTCTTGAGGAAATTAATTAATTTCAATAAATGCATGGAAATGCGTGGATCTGATTGGAGCCGATATTCAAGAGATATTCAAGTTGAACTAAATTAAAAGCTTGCTAATTCGTTCGATCTGAGAGAAGGAGAAAGTAGTTTGTTTCATCGGTAAGTAAATAAAATAAGTAGAGCAAAGTTACCGATCGCGGATATTAAAAAGGGAGAAATGGAGGGTCGATTTTTGTCATTCGGATGGCTCAGGCCGGGGCCATTTTGAAAAGTTAGCGAGCCAGGTCGCGCCACCGGCCTCGGTAATCTACTGTCCCATCGTAATTCGAAAGCGATTGTTTGAATTTATGAAGCCATTAGGAGGCCGCGGGACGTTCGGCCAAAGCTCTGCTCCCTGATTCCAGCCGCAATAAAAGAGTCGCGTTGCGGTGGTATTTTTGCCTGAAGTGGCGGTCACCTGCATTAAAGAATATAACAAGCTGATTGCGTGTGCACCCTTTGTTGCGCGAACGAAGCGTACTTACGTGAGTGTACAGCTTTATAAAGAAAGCTGACCGACGATGGCACCACCAGTAAACTTTCTACGATGTAACAACGGTAACATCGCCGTTCTTTGCAACGAACGAGTGTTTGAGAAAGAAAGAGAAAAAGAAAAAAAATCTGTATCTAATATCTGTCTCGATTACATTAAAAAAAATCAATTCAATTCTGAATTCAATCGGGTCAAAATTAAGATCCATTCTGATTTCGTTGTATACAAGGTGAATAAAAAAAAAGGGGGGGAGGGATCATAACTTATAGGTATATAGATAGAACTCGCCGAAACATGAACAAAAATGTGCTGATAAATTCAATGGTTTCAATGGTTACGAACGATTTTTTGTTTTCTTTCGACGAACCCTTTCTTCCATTCAGCCTGTACAAAGATACACAGCAGATATGTATATCTTGGAAGGGATTGTTTTTGAAAAATCAAATTCAAACATCAGAAAGGCAGGATCGAGTAGAAAGAAAAGAAAAAAGGAGGAATCTCTTGTGAAATAGAGGAGAAAACGATCGAGTACGTGTTATTGACACATCTGCGAGACGTTCGCTGTTTGATGATTAAAGGGGAGGCTCTGTTTTCTTTCCAGCAGTGAGCTCCATGCGGCCGATAGACAGCACGAAATGCGTGGTGGTCCAAGACGTGAAGGCTGTCACTCACGAGAACGCGCACGTTCACGACCCGATATCAACGCAAATACCCACCGAAGGTAAATATCGAGCGGTATCAATTTGCATCCACTATGCATGATGTAAATACTACGACGCGAGGCGACGCGACGCGCTACGACCGCGACGTCTCACGGTAATTGCTTTTGGGAGGCGTCTGCTACGTTCGAATGGCTTCCCGTGGCCTGATATCGGCTGTCTCCTATATAACCGTACAATGGCCAC